CAAAAAGTACATTTTTGTGATGAAGATGGGGCTGCGAGATGGAGTTGTCCTGTCCTCACCTTCCCAAAACCGCGGCCGTCGAGTGGGCGTCTCCATAGGGTTGGAGAATGATGGATTCGTTACGGCCTTGGTGAGCTGGGACGGCGGAACCGGGCATAATAATATTGGAGGCTTACACAACTTCAAGAATCATGAGAATAAGTTGGACCCATGAGATTCGGATTCTTTTTTTTTCCCAAAGGTGAGCCTAATCAGATGAACATGGAGCGGGCATCCATGATAGACCTGAGACAACCAGGAGCTTCCATCGTTCTAATGAAGCATGCAGCCTTGATTCTGACAGCTTCATGCATTGTGATTTGTCTTGTCCCAAGTTGCAACCCGCTCTCATGCGGCGTTCGGATCGGCCATGCTTGGACTTGGCCTTTGTCACATGCACCAACCAAGTTTGCTCTTGTTTTGTTAACTAACGGCAGCCAGCCCACAACATCACCTTTTTCGTGAGAGAAAGCAATTTCGCGGCTGCAGTGCTATCGAAGCCCGACGTGGAAATATTGGATGCCAATTCGGAACGTGACCAACCCCTCCCCCCATACTCTTCCAATACTTGGGGTCCGTTGCAGCCCCGTTTCTCCGAATTCCGAACAACCTCTCACAAGCACACTGAATAAAAAAAAAAAAAAAGAGATACAAAGAGAAAAAAAGGCAAAATAAAGGCAGGGTTTATGATAGTTGGTCCCGCCAAAAGGAGGGGGAGCGAGGCTGGTTGTCGAATTGATTCTTGGCAGCTTCCCAATTCTTCCATGTTTGGCCGAAGCTATTTCTTTCAAAAACCTGTGCTGTTGGCGCTGCTCCGGGGCTTTGGTGACGAGGGCCTCACTGATGGACAGGGCTACACCTCTCTCTCTTTGTCAAGGATGAAACTTGTCTGATCACGCAATCATATCATCGAAGATGGAACAACTTCAGCTCCAAGTTGAGCCCGCTGTTCCAAAAGTTGATATATAGCAAACGAGACTGCTTCATACTTTCTTCGTCGGGCTGTGAGTCACGGCGCCCACGGCCTTGAACGAGGGCCACGCAAATTGTTGTTGCGCGCTGAGCGTGGAGCTTCAACAGAGTTTCTTTTCATACCGTGAGAGAAACAATATAGGCCAGATACATGGCAAATGACAACGGCCGAGGCACGAAAAATTGCGAGTGATGCGAGACACACGATACACCGGCAGTTGTCTAAAGACAGGGCCAGTATGAAAGAGCGAGGGGTCTTGTTACGTCCTACACTCTGACAAGGCATTCCACGCCTGATGGGTGCTTTACAATCTGTAGAATCCGTGTCTTTCTTCAGCTCTAGTCTACAAACGAGAGCAGACAGAGCTTGGGGATGCGCTGCGGCCTCACTTGGGAAGTTGATGAGTTGTAGCTCAACATTCACGCTCAATCACTTCCTTGCCTTGGGTAGTCGTTTTTCATGATGCATGTCTTGACGTATATATCGACACATGTATTGTCAACGAAAAATCGATGTACACCTTTGCCATCAGCTTCATGCCATTGATATGCAGTCACCTCCCAACTGCCCTCACCCAGGCTACTCTCCCAACTTCTACTCTCCCCTAAAACGCATCCAACCACCTCCCCTCCCTTCCCCTTCTCTCTTTCCATTCACGCCTTCTTGGACGCAATGTGCGCATCGTGCAGCTCCGCCACAGCCGGTATAATCAGCCCCTCAATCTCCTCCTCTGGCTCCTCATCGCGCGGCAGCTCCTCTGCGCGCAGCGGCCTGCCCTCCGCCTCCGCGCCCCAGCCCCCGCCGCGACGGCGACCGACGCGCAGCCAGCGGTCCGCCCGCCGCGGGCTCACAAACACCACCTCCCACTTGCGCGTCGTCAGCAGGTTGCCGATGACGAGGTGGTGCTGGTAGCGCTCCAGGCTGGCGCGGGCCTTGTGCACCAGGATCGACGGGTCCGTCTCCAGCTTGTAGCTGACAATCATGCCCTCGGGCGCCCACCCGTCCACCAGGTTCTCGAGAAACTTGGGCACCGGGTCCAGGTCCACGACGAGCCGCTTGGAGCGCGGCACGCGCGGCGCGTCAAAGTTGTCAAACGCCTCTACGTCTTCATCCCCCGGGCTGCCGTCTCCCTTTGCCTGCTGCTGCTGCTGCTTGTCTTGGAGAGCCTTTGCCGCGTCAGTCGACTGAATCTTGTGCTCCGACATGCGCTCCGGCGGCACAAAGAAATCAGACACGGCCGCCGCCAGATACAACAGGCCCAGAGGTCCCAGCGGACGCATCAAACGCGCAATGCCGCGCAGCTCGTGCAGGTAGTCGCCAATCGTGACAAACGGCAGCATCAGCAGCATGTTGCTCGTCCTCGCGCGCTTGTACTCGCGCAGCACGCCGCGGATGCGGTCCTGGTCCTCCTTGCGCACCACCACCCGCTTCCCGTCCTCGTCCTCGTCCAGGAAATCCAAAAAGCAGTCCTTGGCGTGCGTGTAGTGGCGCGAAAACGGCTGCAGGCTAAACTCGCGGTGCAGGAAAATGACGGCGTAGCCGGCGGCCAGGAAATACTCGGCCGACGTCGCGCCGCGCGTGCCGGCCGAGAAATTGTCAATGAAGCGCACCGTCTGCTTCTCCAGGGGCACCGTCGTGCCGCCCGAGGTGATGAGCACGACGCGGTGCCCGGCCGCCGCGTGGGCGTTGATAAAGGTCGACGCCTGCGATAGGTGAGACGCCAGTAGCCGCGGCTGCGGGTTGGACGAGAAGTAGGCGTCCTCGGCCTGCACAGATTGCGCCGACATTTTCTTTGTCTTTCCTTTTTTGTCTTTTCTTTCCGAGACTTGCGAGTGATACTGATTTCGCCTATTTTCTCTATTTTTTCAGAAATCGATGCCGTCTTGGTCGACAGTGATAACGATAAACTCTATAGTGAGGGGTTAAAGACGGGCTTTATGGGGACCAATTCGAAAAGCACCCCTTGGCTGCCGTGACGTCGGATTGTCGCTGAAAAAAAAGCCAGATGATGGGGAGATGAGATACGATGAATAAATTCATATTTTCTGCCAGATCTGGGGGACCCCTTGGCGCTTTTATAAACCGCCCTCATCCTGGCTGTGCTGATATTTACGAAGCAGCTCCCATCCCGCCTCAACTCGGAATAGGCGGCACCGCGGGCGCACGCCGCGCCAAGGCCCGCCGCCTCATTCAACAGGCGAGATTAAGAGAGATGATCTGATTATATCCGATCAAGAGTAGTACCAAAGTTTGTGCAGCTTGTTCGCATGCAGCAGCTGATTTTACCGTTGCCTTCGGTGGTTGTAGGGCCCCGCTCATCCGCTACCACGCCTCGCTTTACATTGAGCACAATGTCTTTATCAGCAAAGTCTTAAAAATAAACGAAACCTCTAATAAGCAGAAGTGCTGCGGCTGTTTTGTGCTGAGGTACAGGGTAAGTGCAGAGGCGGACAACTCGCGCGTGTCTCGTGGTCCGCCTTTTCCAACAAGGGAATCGATCATGAGAGATGTCATACTGATAATTGCGCTTTGCCGTCTGCCGCAAATTCGGTCCAGCTATCTACTCAAAGATTATATAGCACAACGCTCTCCTTCCGGGAATACCCTAGTATCGACACCACCGATGGAATCATAGTCGCATACTGCTTCCTACAAGCCTGCCGGAAAAACGCGTGGGCGCAAGATGGAAATGATCTCGCCGCATTCTGAGTCGCCTAAGTCTTCTCGCAATACCACAGCGCACGGTAATCCTTGTATCCAACATACGGCCTCGTAAAATCCTCGTCGTATTCGTCCACCAACCATCCCACACCAGGCAGCAAAACGTCCCTGTGCCACCCAAACGGGTTCTCCTTGCCGTCGTACAGGAACTCGCCAATCTCCTTGCTGAACCACAGGCCGCGGCCGATGACATTATTCTTGACCTTTGCCATGCCCAGCGTCACCTGCGGCCGTGCGGCCGGTTCCCGGCCCGCCCAGTCTAGATTCGTCTTCATCTTTTCGAGCAGCATGGCGTGGTTGGCGCGGCGCTCAGTAGCGTCGTCAAACTCAAGGAAACTCAGCTCCACGGTGCGCAGCGTCGGGGGCAGCGCGCCCAGTGCGGCGACGAGATCTGACACGCGCACGACAAACTGGGAGAGGCCAAAGTGACGGAGATGCGGCCATGCGTCGACCGGCAGCAGAGACTGCAGTGGAAAAAATGGCTTGGTCTGGGCCTGGGATCGAAATGAGCGGGTTGGGCCGTTGCCCCGAAGACGAAAGTGCTCGAGGTGACGAGCCTGGGCGAGAAGGCTCTTTAGTTCGCCGTTTCTGAGCATGCCGAGGATGTCAGATGAACTTCTGTCAATAAGAACCGGGAGATCCAGTCGACGAAAAGTTGTCTGCTGAAGAATCAGTGCCAGGTTTTGATATTCCTCACAGTCTTGCGTCAGTATGTACGGACTGACGCCCGTGTGCAAGCTATGCACATCGAAAACCAGCTCCGGCACTACACGCTGGCCCTTTCGTATCCGCTCCGCCAGCGTCTTAATCACCAATATCAGTCCCCTCCAGTTTGCCTTTTCCGCGCACGCGTTGTCGATCTGGCCTGAAACAGTCCTAAACGGTACGCTTGGGTGCAGCAGTGGATCATCAATCATCGGCCAGCCTCTCGGGATCGCATAGTTGAAGCCGTACGGGAAACTTCGTATCATCGGTGTATAATACAGCGGCGTGTACAGGTATCCATGCGTAGCTGGCGTCACTGTGATCCTCTCTAGTGCTGGAAAAGCCTCTATGCCCTCCTCCAGCGCGTGTAAATCGTCATTCGCTTGCATCGCCATGACCTGCTTTGAGAACAAGTCCATGTAGTACCAAAAGGTTTCCACAAGCGGAGCCTGCGCAGCCTTCTGCTTCTGCCTCTCTATTTGCCGCTCCACGTTGCCCGTATCATTGGCGTTTCGTCCATGCAGATCCCACACGTTGTTCCGTCTGCGATCCCAAAACCACCCACACATCATGGCCTCTTCAGAGCCGAGGGGCGATTTCCCCTCCGGCGGCCCTTCGCGCAGATGTTCCCGAGTCATAATAGTCGTTATGTCCATGATATAATGCGGATTCCCGTTGAAGGTGGTGATTATATTCTGACGGTCAATTTGCTGCTGGGGGTCTTCGAGGCGGGCGTCGTCGTACACGATTTCGCGGACGCCAAGGCGAAAGGTTGGGTGGGACGCGATAGCGCGAAAGACTTCCAAGTTGCGCGGATTAGGCGAGAGAAAGACGCGAGTGAATCGGGGCGTAACAGCGTGACAGATGCTCGGACCGGCTAACCGGAGCGCCTTGATGTCCTTGTTGGGCAGGTATGAGCATATGGAGGCGAGAATTTCAGTAGGGACGCGGGTGAGCGGGACGGGTTCGTCTGCGGTGGCTGTCGGTTCTGAATCCATGGCCTGTGTGTATGTGTAGATACGAAATGATGGAATGAACTTGATGTTGCCACACTACAAGTTCTGTGCGAGCTGTAGATGCGAACGAAGTTGATGCTGCCGAACAACAAGTCGTGCCCTGCCGTAGATGCAATGAGGCTGATGCTGCCCAACAACAAGTTCCCGTGCGAGCTGTAGATTCGAATTAGCCAAACGACTTCGGCACCGCCAATCAACGAGTTCCGATGCAATCTATCAATGCAAAATCAAAGCTCCGATGATGTCGACACTGCCAAAGACGCAAATCCCCTGTACGGGCTGGAGATGCACGTGTTAGGGAGCAGTTGGGCGATCTTGGCTGACTTGTAGGGCCGCTATGGCCGCACCCAAGTGGCTGCTGGGCCTAAGGCGACGCGTGCGAGGATTCACGTGCCCTGCAGAGGGAAAGGATGACCGTACTCTAGGTAGTTACTACAAGCCCCCTCAGCCCTCTTGATGATTGCTCCGTGAGAATGGTAAATGATGCGTGTTTCGAGTTTCGAGTTGGAGAGCAGGGATGTGGGGGTGACACGAGCGTGAACAATCTGAACACAGAGTTTAGGCAGTAGTCTGTTTGCACATTGAGGGTCATACCCATGTGCGAGATTGGGTACTCTGACATGAATAATATTTTCTCGGGTCAATAACTAAATTTAGTTGATTTATGCTCACAATTCTCTCTTCCTCTTACAAAAATGCCCCCCCGCGTTTCTCCTTTGCTGCTATTGCTTGCCGGGTGACAGCCTCCACGCTCGCAGAGGCAGAGCCTGAAGTTGTCGCACCTTGGGCTTGATGTACCAAAAGAACGTGGCCGCGCCGAAAAGTACGCATAAAACATTGACCCAGTGAAACCCGTCGCGCGTCATCTCGCAAACACCGCCGCCGTTTTCACACCTCTCCTTTTCGGCCTGGACGGCGCAGGAAAACGCCTCCGTCACCAGCGGGCCCTTGAGCTTGGCGCTGCTGCTATGCTTGCCGGGGTGGCAGGTGGCTACCGTGAAGACGTCGACGAGGCGCAGGACAAAGAATCGTGGGAACGTGCCTCCGAGGTTCGAGACGGTGGCGAGGAGCGTCATGTAGGTGCCGCCAATGACGGGATCCGATACCTTGGCGTGAAAGGCAGAGACGGCGACAAACATGATGGTGTTGGTAAAGGTTGAAAAAATGTGCGAGAGGATGACCGAGCCAAGATACCAGGTCGTGACACCTTGGGCGGGAAAGATGGCTACCGTTAGCTGCGCAAACAGAGCAGCACCCAGACGGCCGACAAAAGCCCAGCCCCAAAGTCTCATGGCACCGTACTTTTGTGACCACATGCCTGCATAATAGCCCAGGCCGATTTCAAAGGGAAAATCAATCAGCACCGTCAGGGCCATGTTGTCTTTGCCGAAACCCTTGTCGAGGAGCTTGAGATTGGTGACGCCGTCGTTGGCCTGGAAGCCAATTTTGGAGATTAGGTGGACAATGATGATGGTCTGGACATTCTTCAGCTTAAGAATTCCCCACATGATCTTGTAGACTTCCCAGACACCCTCCTCGTTTTGCGACTTTTCCTCGCGCTTCATGAACCCGAGACCAATGGTGACAATGATGTACATCCAGCCCCAAAAGGTCAGGTAGCCGGCAAGAGATACTAGACCATCGTCGGAGGGAACGGTCCGGAACCATTTGTTGGCAAAATCGGATGCGTTGAGGGCGAGGAAGACGGTATAGGACATGAAGTGGCCGGCGGTCAGACCTACGGTTTGGGCAGTCGAGGCATAGGAAACGTTGCTGGGAGTAAGCAGAGTCAAAGCCCAGCCGTCGACAGCAATGTCCTGCGTGGCGCACATGAGAACGAGGAAAAACCACCAGAGCATAAAGGCCCAGACGGTTGGGCCACCAGGCTTGCCGGTGGTGGCCATCATGGACTCGACGTGTCTTCCGAGCCAGAGCATGCCAAATCCCGAGACGAACTGTATGGGAACGATCCAGGTCTTGCGGCGACCGAACCTGGAGCTCCAGACGGCGTCGACAAAGGGACTCCAGAGGAGCTTTAGCGAGTAGGGGTAGGAGGCGAGGGTGAAGACGCCAATCTCGCTGTAGGACATGTGGTTTTTGAGGAGAAAGGGAACGGAGCCCATGGCGAGGCCCATGGGGATGCCCTGAAGAAAGTAGAGCAGAACGAGGAGCATAAAATTGCGCTGGTCCTGGAGGGGCAGCTGGAAGAAGCCGGCGTTGCTCGAGGTCGGAGTTCGGGGGACGGGGTCGTCGAGGGAAAAAGACTCGCGGGCCATGTAGTTTGAGGTGAGGGAGGCGGAATCATTGCTGGCGGTTTTGCGCCGCATCTCGACGCCGCCATTCATGGTGCCGTTGTGGTTGGCGGTGATTTCACCGTTGGTGTCGTGGTCAGTCTTGACGGACAAGGGCGCAGCGCTCTTTTGCTTGCGCGATTGCGACTGCGGACGTCGCGCTCTGGCCCCCATAGGAGATAGTCTCGGACTGCGACAGAGCAGGGGTAGCAGGTCCCGGGCTCCGACGTTTTTGCTTTATTCTGGTTATACAAATCGATGAAGGAAGGTGTTGGGAGAGGATGCGGTTCAATTGCGCGTAGGTGAAAAATTTAATTCGTACTTGGAAGCGTGTGGCGGTTGGTCTTGTGTTGTCAACGAAAACGTAATGGAAGGTGGTGGTGGGTGGTGTCTGGCAAGCAGCAGCAACCTCGAGAACAGAATTGGACAAGGCCAGCACAAGTAAAAATGTCGAGAGAAAAAAGATGAACGAATGTAGAATCGGACTGGCGTTGGAGAAGTTGGTAGAAAGCGAAGCGGCGACTCTCGAACTGCTGACGCGCTCCGGACTGTCGGGCTGCGTGGCGACGCTACCGTGGCCTCAAGGGCTTACAAATTTTGGTACTCAAATGATGGAGACGACGATGCTTTTTTGGGGGGGGGAGGTGGCGTTGGCCGTAAAAAGTTGGCGAGCAAGAGTGTCGACCAACGGACAGCAAGAAATATGTCAAAAATAAAGAAGAACAAGAGAAGAGAAGGCGTTCATGAGCCAATCTTTTTGAGAAAGCCAGAGAAGGTTGCTTGTCTGGGGCAAAAGGGCAAAAAGGCGCGCTTGATTCATGAAGCTGTTTCTGAGGGAATCGAGGCTGCCCCAGGCCCCGCACTTAGCGCTCCCCCCCCCCTGAAGACACATTCCTTGCACCTGGACATGGAGTCGTACCTTTTATTAGTGGCAGCGGCAAATCTGACATTGGTGCCTGGCAGCCAACACGAGAGCTTCTCCTTGTACAAATACGGTGGAACCAGATGTGGTTTTCATTACATTGCATTGCAGTAGAATAAGAAAGTAGGCCAATAAAAAGAAAAGCACTGTACCATCTGATTCTGCCACGTAGGTAGCTCCTCCAGCGACTCGCCGCCTTCGTACCCAACCCGCTGCAGCCTACCTATTTACAGCCTGCAGCCTGCAGCCAAGTTTGTGGGGCGTTTCCCCTTATCTTATCGCCGTACCCGTCCCATCAACAACACGCGACCCATCATCGCGACTTTCAAACAGCTTCCATTTCGTCCTCTGCAGCACCTGCTTAAACCCCCACGCTGCCGCCATGGACGAGCAGGAAAACTCAAGACCCCAGGTCGACCCTCTCGACAAGGAAATCGCCTCTCTAAAAAAGCGAGGTACGCCTCACTTCTCGAATCCCCCGTCTGCGACCTTTCAAGCTAACCTAGCTTCACCCGAACGCAGTCGCCGCCATGCAAAAACGTCTCCAAATAGAATGCTCGACCATCCTCTCCTCTTCGCCCATGCAAGAGATAATCCAAGAAGCCTCCTCCAACTCTTCGTCTTTCTTGTTGAAATCCGCCGCCCACGCCCGCGATCCCCACGCCGCCTCCCTCCAGAAGCGCTCCGCCCAGCAGGCCGCCTACATGCAGCAGTGCGCCTACCGCATCACCACCCCCATCACCGCCTTTAAAGTCCGCGATCCGGACCCCAACGCCGTCGACGCCGGCCACGTCCTCGGCCTCCGCTTCGAGGCCATGTCCCAGGGCCACTTCCTGCGGCCCTACTACGTAATGCTGAACCGGCCATACCCCGACTCCCCCTCACACCTCCGCGTCCACCGCCACACCGTGCCGCCCGCCATCCCCATTGGCGGCCTCGCCGCCCGTCACCTGCCCCCGCCGCGAGCCGGGACCGCCACTGCTGCAACGCAGCAGACGACACAGGATCTGGACCGCTTCGCCCGCGCCCTGCGCCGCGAGATCATGCGCTTCCACAACCGCCTCGGCCTCACCGCCGACCTGCGGAAAACGGTCGGCGTTCAGCGAAAAGGCAAGGCCGCGGCGGCGGCGGCGCCCACGCCCAGAGAGGTCGTCGAGGCGGGCATCGCCGACGTCGAGGCCAAGCACGTCAAGCTAGCATGGGCGGATGGCCGCAGCGGCCGCATCCTTATGGACAAGGACGGCAAGGTGCAGAAGTTTGTCGTGTTTGGGCCAGAGGGGAGGAGGGATTGGAGATTGACGAGGCTGCTGTCGGGCCCGAGAGATGGTGTGGATGACATTGCGAGAAAGCTGCGGCGCTATGCGGCGAGTTGATGGGCGGGCGCCAAGGACTGTCAATATATGTAATGATAATGCGTGAACGATTCATGACCAGCCTACGGAGCAATTTGTATCCCAACAATTTTCAAAAGTTGGAGAATAATGTCATAAGAGATAGTATGGAGGCAATACAAAGATGCTTTACTCTGCTCACAAGTCATCACTGTTCAAGATACATGCATAACTGCCGCACGTGTCTTGCAAATCTGTCACCAAAGGAGGGATACTATCGAAGAGAAGCGCCTCACACTGCTTCTATGTAGCAGACAAAGACTGAAAAATCATGACAGGTGGAAACTTACTACGTGAGAGCCACTTTTATTGTTTCAATGAATGAAAAAAATGTTTGAAAGTACAATAGAATCAAGGCCAACCCCTAAACCTGCCTCTCGAAGAGGCCTTGCCTCAAGCACACCACTTCTCCCAACTTCTCATCAAACGACGTCGCCCCATCAAAGTGTAAAAATTAATGTAAAAAAGAATTTCCACAAAGAAAAAAATGCCTCCCAGATATGAAACATGTTGGGATGCTTTGATTTCTGCTTTTTTTTCTTCCTCCTTCTCTGCACGATGCGCAAAAAAATTACCATTGTGGTTGTTGCTCGATGCAGCGGCTCATCGGTGAGACATGCATGATGGCCACCACTTTGAGCAAAACCGCGACGGTATCATAGAAAGAGCGTTTACAGAAGAGCAGCGACGGCGGCGACGGCAGCAAAGAGGCCGATTTGGGCCTGGGCGCCGCCGTTGACAATAACGGGAACCTGGGTGTTGTTGCCGGGGCGGACGGGAGGCGCGACTGAAGCTGGGGGAGGTGCGGGCGCCCTGGTGGGCTGGGCAGGCGCCGAGGCCGTGGTCCAGACCTGGACGGGAGTCTTGGCCGGGGGCGGCGCGGCAACGGCGGTAGTAGTCGCGGGACAGGGGGTCTCGATGACGGTGACCTCGACGGAGGACTGGGAGTTGCTGACGGGGATGGTGGTGGCCTCGACGGTGGACACAGGGCTGGGGACGGCTGTGACGGTGACGTTGGCGATGGAGGGCGGGGCGGCGGTGTTGGTGGCCGGGCAGATGCTGGTGGTGACGGTGGTGACGGCGGTGATGCGGGCTGGGCAGTCGGCCACGGTGGGCGCGCAGTCGATAATCGTCTTGGTGACGACGGCTGTGGCCGTCGACGTAGTCCAAGTGTGAGACTCCTCCTGGCACGCCTCGCACGGGTGCACGTAGTGCCACTCCTCGTCCTGGGCGTCGCAGCCATCAATGGTGACGCCCGGGTGCGCGGGGTGCCACGTGTTGGTGCGGCCGGAAGGAGGCGGGGCTCGGGGGCCAGTCGCTGCCGTGAGCGTGATGCCCGCGGGCAGTACGGCCTGGGCAATCTCGCCGTCAGTGAGGCCCGTGAGGCCCGCGCTGCGGAGGGCGTCCTCCACGGCGTCGGGGTGAGCGGCGACGATGGAGACGAGGGCCGCGACGGCCGCAATGGCAAAGGACTTCATTGTGGCGGGATTTGGTGGGAGTGGGAGAAAAGTGGTGTTGGAAAAATGTGTCGAAGGGGAAAGAGTGTGAAGAACTGGGGAAAAAAGAGTGTATGGGTGAGTGAGTTCTTGTATTCGAGATGATGCTGATGTTGTTGACGGAGTAGTCGAGGGAGGATTCAGACAGTTGGAGGGAAAGCAAGTGACTTAAATAACTGATCTTTCAGGATCAAGAATCAAGACAATATTGTTCGCTAGTCCACCCCTTGGCTGCCCCCCTTTATCCTCCCGCACCGCTTGCCTCTCTCTCTGCCTGGTGCCTGGTGCCTGGCGACAGCATCACACGACGATGCCGCTCTCCGCCCCCCGACACGGAATAGCTCTGATTCATGGGGGAAATGAGAAACAGAGACAAGCCATAGTGGGTAGAAGCGAAGCCAAGCAGGGCCCAACCCCACTCGACCGCATCCTCTTTCTCTGTTCCCTTTTCCAGGTCGGTTGACGCTTCTGTTGTCACTTCGCCTCGTCTCGTTGGCGCGCCCCAGCTTGCAGACCCAGCAGCCACATGTCTCAGCGATCATCGGCGAAGGGCCCCATCTGATCAGACGAGTTCTGGGCGCAAATAAAGGCCCGTTTTAGGGCCGCCTCCGGCATATCGAATCCCACACCACCCACCACAGGTTCTCAACGGAACAACGTGACAACACCAAAGCTCAACTGGGACCTGCGCTAGCGTCACGCGGCAGAGCCTGTACTGGAAAAGAACAAAAGGCATCTTTGACCGCATGTTGCTTGTTTTGGACGAAACATGGCTATGAGGAAATGGTCGATCCACAATACGCTGCCGTGTTTCTCAGTCCGCTCGTGTAAGTGGCCAGAAGAGCATCTATTGCCAGCTTTCAACCTCCGGTTGTTCAGGTACACTTCGACTTTGCGCCCTTTGTGCAGGTAGGCTTCGACTTTGCACCCTTTTGTCCAGGTAGGCTTCGACTCGCCCCCTTGTTCAGGTACACTTCAACTTTGCGCCCTCTGCATTTCTCTCGTCAACTAGTACCCAATACTGGCAATCCCTTGCGCACATTGTTGATTTGCCCTGCCGTGGGATCCTCGTGCGCTGGTTGCTTTGTACCCAAAGGGGCAAGTCCCATGTCTCAGGCGCGAATACCCCAATTTCCTGCTGTGAGACGCACCTGGTCTTCCTCTTCGCGCCCTTTTGTATCGGTAAATACTAAAAAAAGCGGCAAGACACACGTTAAAAGGGTGGATACCCTCGCTAGAAAGCAACTCTTGCCCTTATTTGGGGGGTGGTCTCGTCTTTCTGAAAAAGCAAGTACCGACTGGGGCTGCCGCACGCCAATGACACGCCATCGAGCAGCTAAAAGGGCAAAGAGCAGCAAGAGAGAAGGAGAGAAAAAGAAACCTTGTTGATGTCCGTTTTCCAAGCCTGGACTCAGCCGACTATTGAGTCGTGTCTCGTCCCAGACACGGCATTGTTATAATCTGTATTTCCTTCAATTCTTGTGCCGATGCGGTTTCAACGCCACTCATCATGAAGAGCGTCAAGTTGCTTCGCGCACGGAACAGCACCGCCTTCTCCAAGGCTGTTTATTTCTTCTTTGATTGTATCTTGAACGTGGCTTGGTGCTGTGCCGTCTGACTCGAACTTGGTGACTCGATACCGTTTTCGGTCGACGTAAATCTCCGAGACTGGCAACTTGCAGTCTGCATATGCGCGGCCACATTTACTTTTCATGCTGAACACAAAACATGACAAACTGTCCCAAGCTTACCAGTCCAGTGCCTTGTTCGTCTTTTGCACAAGTCCCAATTTAGCTTGCTCATCTGAGATGACGTCTACTCGATGGCCCGTCTCATCACGCAATATATCGAGCTGGATATTCCACTGCTGCACCTGCGTATCGACAATGACAGTCCACTTCTTGATCAAGGGATGCGCCGCTGCCACGTCGGCAAACACGACCTCGCTTTCCTCGTCTTGGGGGCCGACTTGGTAGGTCCAGTTCCCATCGGGGGCCCAGTACTCTGGGCTGAAAATATGCTGAGTACTCAGATCCTCTCGGGCTTGACTTAGCAGCTGCGCCGCCTCCGTCGACTTGTCGTTGCCGAGAGGCTCCAAGGCGTTGCTGATGCCCTCGAGTATACCAATAAGATGCCCGGCCTTTTGCCCGATCGAGGCACCCAAGCTGAAGCCCTCGTCAAAGCCCGGCTGTATGCTTGCCTCCTTGGCCACGGACACGCCCTCCCTGTAGCCTGATGTGCTATGCTCTGCCTGCAAACGACTCATGTCCGTCGGGTGCGTAGATTCTGGCGCCAGCGACGCAACGCTGTGAGCGTCGAAGCCGCTGTCCGCCGCGCCAAAGACATCGTCCAGAGGATCTGGGGGGGCAGCCACAGTAGGGTCTTCCGGCTCAGGCTGATGTCGCCCCTGCGAAAAGTGGGAATCCTCCGCGGAGAGATCTCTTGGCTGCTGATGCATGTTGCTGGCACGGTTCCCTGTCTTCCCGATTTGTAATAAGACACAAGGGGGAATAAGGTGATAATGAAAAATCCTGGAGATTTGACAGATGCAGCTTTGTGTGGATGCGGGCCATGCCGTACCGTGCGCAGAGTGGTGGCCCATCTCTAACACTGTGCTTTCTACCAGTTTTTTTCAGCGAAACTTACAGTGCGCAGAATTATGACCATCTCAGCCCGCTTTTCCCCAACACTTTGGGCTAATTGCTGCCCTGCCATACTTTCTTTTGCCATTGGCACTATAAAAGATCGTCTGAATGGGTTTGAATCACTTCAAGACATGTGTCCCTTGTCATCTCCTTTAGTTGGACGCAACTCCTCTGAAGCCATACAGAGAAAGTCTAGACATGGCTTGCCCAAATCATAACAGCCACGGACTCCTTTACCCTGGTCCAAAGGCGTCGAGTTAACTACGGTGTAATGACAAGTATTTGTCAAATCGCGGCGGTATTATGTCTTTACGTGTCTCTTCCCGTGAAGAGAACGACGGCGTTTAGCCTCTCCTGTAATATCACTCGAATTGAATCGGTGAGCGCTACCGCGGCTTGCAGCTATCGAGTGCTGCTAATTTGTCACAAAAGAAAGTGCACGAAAATAACTTACTTGTCAAGGGATCGCCGAGTCTGCACTGTGCAATGTGCACATCCAGGACTCAGGCCCTTGATCTGAAAAACACCCCCTCGAAAGCGCCCGGCCCCCTGGCAGTGGGTGCCCTTATCTTCATCCTTTCGTTCATCGCCGATGATGAAGTGAAGTACGCCCTCAGCGTGACGAGGGCGGAATTGACCAGCAACAACTCGAAAAAATGCCGCCTTTGTAACTCGTTGATCTTCGATGATCAAGCTATCAACATGCCACTACAGTTTTTTTGTTTCCGTCGCCATCGAGATACGAAAGAAGCTGTCTCACTCCAGAAATGTCAATATATTCAAAATAAGCAAGAAAGCGTTATATACACGTGGCAGACACACCAAGCTAACAAACCTCAGTGGTCATGTGTAGCCAGCCCCCTCATCTGATCAAACGTCCGGCAACTCTCCATTCTATGTACATTCAGAGCGCCCTCCGATTTTCACTCTCTCGTGAACTCTACTGGCAAGATGACCACCATTCACTCGACTTCTTGCAAGTGAATGGGGGCTGGCACTCGGTAGGTCCGTTGTATCCTTGCCCACCGCACTAGCACACCGTCAGCATTCAAGACTCGGGCAATCTCATGAGTTGGTTGGCCTTACCTGGCCCCACTGAGGGACGGTGCCGGTCGGGGAAGGCCCCGGGGGTGAAGAACTGGTAGGGCTGGTGCCCGGCGGAGTGGTGGTGGTGGTGGTGATGGGAGGAGGGCCATCGGTGCCGCAAGGACCGCCCTTGACGAGAATGTGCTTGGCCTGTTGGGCGTAGGTGCAACGGTTGATGACGTTGGAGTCGGAGAAGCCGGCGCTCCACATCATGATGCCTCCAAAGTGCGCGTCGCTCTTGTACTCGTTTGTAATGATGGCCAGCTGTTCCGGGGTGGCGTAGTAGGTGGCGCCGCTGGGGCTGCCGTTGGAAGCAAGAGTCGAGGCCGGGACACCAATGAAAATCTTGGCGTCCTTGGAAGGCGTGGAGGAGATGAAGCTGGTCCAGTTCTTGTAGTTGAAAGGAGCGTTGCCGTTGATGGGCAGAGCACACGGCACGGTGTAGTTGTTGTTGTTGTAGAACTGGACAAAGAGGTAGTCGAACTGACTGTTGCTGATAATCTCGCCCATGTTGGGCTCTGGGATGGGACACTGAGGAGCACCGGTGATGAAGTACTTCTTGGACGTGTCCTTTGCAAAATTCTCACGCATCTTGGCAATCATGTACTGGTAGTACTGGCTGCTGCCGCCGTTGCGCTCAATGTCGAAGTCGAAGCCGTCAATGGCGTTCTTGCCAAAGGGACGCTGGACAGTCGTGTTGCCCGAGTTGCCGTACGAGTCCCAGAGGTACTGGCCAATCTGCTCCGCCTGGGCGCGCGACTGCAGCGAGTAGGAGCCCGCGGCGCCGCCGAGGGCGAGGAGGATCTTGACGCCGGCGCCCTGGCACTTTGCCATGGCCGCCGTCAGGCCTTCGCAGTTTTGGCCCTGGCCGGCCTGGGTGATGAAGCACGACTGGCCGATGGTGCCCGAGGGGATGTTGTTGTTGTCGCGGCCAAACTGGTAGAGAAAGGACAGCACGAGCACGTCGATGCCAGAGTTGGGCTGGCAGTAGGCGGCGAGGTCGTTGTTCTCAATGGTGCCGCCGCCATTTTGGCCCCAGTACACGACGTTTTGCGCGCCGGGAGCCTGGCGGCCGGCCAAAGGTGAGGCGGCCGAGAGGCTTGTAAGCCCGAGGCTGGCGAGAAGAGAGAAGAAGAAGAAGAAGCGCATGTTGTTGTCTTTTTTTCTGTTTTTTTTTTTTTGTTGGAAAGCTAGTCGGTGCGTAAGGGAAATCGTATGAAGAAAAGTATGTACAGGATATATGTTACCAATATATGCAGAGAAAATTTTAAGGAATGTTAGAGTTCGAAGCCGTCTCTTTAGTCTTTTGGTGATGTGCGCCTAAAGTTCACGAGAATTCTACATCGTGACGAAAAGGTCTCGGTGTATTTATAAAAGAAAAAAAGCTACAATGAGAAACGCAAAAAAAAAAAAAAAACACATCATTTGTTATCGAGCATTCCCCAGTGCCTCAGTCACACAGCCCCAAGCGTCATCGTGGCCCATTCTGACCTGCCTTTCTGGGTCGTTGGCCGCGCCAGTTCGGGGTTGCATTCCTGAGAGAGGCTGCCACCGAAGCGGCATCACAACCCCCAATGAGAGGAGACGTTACACTACAAGCTGTTGTCATTCGGCAACCGAGAGACAAGAAACATGATGCGCCTAAACCAGCTCCCGATGAATATGACCAGTCGCTGGCTAGCACTGGGACACATCATCAATGTTCCGTGGGGGGGAGGGGGGGCGTAATGTGCATGCCATGGTGTGGCAGCTAACCCTCGACGCTCCCCGTTGCAGAGAAGCAGATGAGAGGGACATTTGCCAGTTTTGGGAAGGAGTCAGCAATCAAGTCGCTCTGATGCCGCTGCAGCCGTGTGTAGACGATGCGACGCTCGATTGTCATTGGGTAAGCAGAGTCGCCGCACGAGAGATAACGTCGTGCGGATAGATGCGACGTTCCTGCGCTAGCTCGCTCGCTCCCTTTTCGCCCAAGCTAATGGTGACAGTCTCCGCAGCTCGCTGATTTAGATTTTTTTTTTTTTTGGGCTCGTTTCCCTTGGATTAGGGCTTTCTGCTAGAATGATTTGGATGAGCTGGGGATGTTGGTGGTTGACACTTGAATCACCCGGTGTTGTCATTGGCGAATGTTTCTTGCACGACCAGGCGACAACCCCCCTCCCAACTACAACAACCATCTTGCCCCTCACAAAATAAAAATAAAAAATAGAAATAAAAAAAAGGTTAGGGCAAAACTCGAAGTCAGCTGTATTGATCCTCAATCACAAAAGTTGCATGTAACCTTGCAAGACGACTTTGTCTGGTTTCCGTAGACTGCTTCTTTACGCATTGTCAGTCTTTCGCTGCAATCATACCCTGAACAGGACACAACTACTTGGGTGGCCTGATCAACTGCCTGTTGTGCCATGTGTGGGGGTAGAAAATGCATCGTGTTGTATCGAAACCATGCCCTCTAGTCTTTGTGTGTTGAATAGATTGATAGATTGGGGTTTTTCCTAATTACTCGTGCCGTTGTGGTACCTTGTGAAAAGTAACGTAGATGACATCAATCTGGTTCAGAGTCGCATCACCCCCGAACAAAATTAAATCAGCATAAAGTGATTACGTTGAGTGGTTTTCAATACAGTCATAGTCAATCAGTTCTGAAAAGTTAGTCCCATCTTTTCCCCCGCGTGTCCCCATCTCGCGGGGCAATCGTGCCAAAAGCTGTGCTCACGCGATGACCCGTGCGGGCCTAATAATGATCCCTCATCTAAAGTGGTTGCATGGCGCGCCACAGGAACCCAAGTCATGTTACGCCCCCCCATCAACAGTCGGCACTAAACACGTGCACCATCCTCGATAAGCCTGCATATTTCTTGCTGCTCGCTTGCTTGCATCTTCAGAATGATGAGCTTACAAGGTGAGAAAATGGACCCCCCGGGGCCGTGTCGCTGGTCAAAAGGCCATGATAACAGCCTTCAACGCTAGCTACGGCACATTTAATTAGCTTTTTTTAAAAAAAAAACATGTGTGCAAGAGTCACAAGTTTCATGGAAGCCCGACTGGAGGGGTCGTCAATCGCCAGACAAATCAACTCAAATGAACTCTTCATTTAATGCTGAACATCAGGTGCGACAGGCCCGCTCGCGGCGTCGACGCACTTCTACAAACAAGCTTGTACTTTATAGGTGCATACTGCTTGCAGGCATTAAATGGGCTTTTAAAGATTACAAAGCGTGTGATTCAATTTAGGTGAATATATATGATGGTCTTGCCACCTAACACACTTGCCGTTACGTTACGTATTGCCATTGCCAAGATGCCATCAAGCCCAGAGTTTGCTGTGCTCTTCAAATTCCCAGTCTCTTCCGTAATTGCCATTGTACAGCATTCCATCATCCTACCAAAGAAAAAAAAAGGACAAAAAAAAAAGACACCAACAACAGAAAGCTAATTGGCCTGCTGCAGCCTTACCGCCACCTTGACCGGCGCCGTCGTCAATGTGTAACGGTGCCTCGTCACCGTGTCCGGGTCCAGATTCTCAATCCTGCCATACTTTTGCAGCATCCGCACGACGACATACGCCGCCTCTGTCAGCGCAAACTGCTGCCCGAGACAGATGCGCGGCCCTCCGTTGAACGGCAGGTACTCCCAGCCGTGCTTGCGATCCGCCCAGCGCTCCGGCCTAAACTCGTGCGCGTCGTCGCCCCACAGGTCCTTGCGGCGGTGCATCACGTTGACGCTGTACAGGACGTCTTGGCCCTTGCGGATGAAGACGGGCGACTGCCCGTCGGGTCCGCCGCCGCGGGGCAGCGTCGTGTCGCGGACGGCGCGCCGGCCATTCTCGGGCACGACGGGGTGCAGACGCAGGGCCTCAGAGAGGAGGTGCTGCACGGGGTGGCATGCTTTGAGGGACTCGAACGTGATGATGGAGGCGCTGTCAGCTGAGCATGATGGCCCGAATGTTTCCACTACAATGCGGTGGAGTTTGCTGTAGTAGTCGGGATGGCGGGCGAGCAGGTAAAAGGTCCATCCCAAGAGACCGGCAGTGGTGTCTCTGCCTGCCAGTAGAATGTTGAGCAGCTGGCTCCGTAGGACGTACGGATCCCTGGTAGTCTTGACAAGTTCTCTGAGAAAAACGTAGGCTTCCGTCTCGGAATCGCCCTCGGTGTCTTGTACCTCTGTATTCAGAGCGCGCTGGACAAAGTGGTCTGCAAACTTGTGCACCTCTCTGCAGTCCTGAGCGAGAGAGCTCGGCCTGTACAGATAATAAAAATCCATGAGCATCCCACGAAGGGCTATGGTGGCATTGGCTCTGTCAAAGGCTCGACCAAACGACGACCAGTCTTTGCCACTAATAAGCCCGTCCTGCCCAGACTTTTTGCCACTGTCAGAGCCGCCGTGGGACTTTTTACCATGATGAATTTGCGATTCTACGCTTTGGCCAAACAGAAACTCGGTCGCCGCATCGAGAGTCAAGTTGAAGAACAGCGGTGCCAAATCGACCTCGGCTGTCCAAGAGCCTGCATGAGGGCTATCGAAATGCTGAAAGAGATTCTGAACGTGGGCTTCCAAAAGTGTCAGATTGGATATTTGGGCTCGAGTAAATTGTGGACGCAGCATCGACCGCTGCTGCTGCCTATAAAAAATAGCTAGTCAGCACCCATGGAATGTGTAAGGTGACGGACGACAACAACCCCGCCTCGACATACCACTCTTTACCGTCGCTGGTGAATATACCGTGTCCGATCAGAGGCCCCATGTGGTCCAACCGTATAGACCCTAGCTCGAAATCATTAAACTGCGTCGCCAGCAAGGCCTTGATGTTCTCCGGGTCGGCCGTCGCGTGGTACCACACGCCCAAGATGTTTTGGCGCCAGGTTGCAGGGCAGCCCATCTCTTCGTAGACGGCCACTTCGTCATTCTGAAGAGTGTGGTCCAGGATGGCGCGCATGGTGCGAACAATGTTGTCAATGGCGAACGGGAGTCGATACGGGCGAGCAGGCGGCGGCTTGCAGCCTGCTCTCCGGGCAAGACTCTGGTAGGATACTTGCCGCCATACCACCTTGAGAATATACGCGGCAATGACAGCCGATAGAAGAACTGCAGCAAAAGACGATGACAACAAGTTCATTTTTTTTTTCTTTGTGGCTTGAACTTTTTCTGAAGCTGCATCAATTTTCGGGTGAATGATGCCACTTTGAAAGTCTTTCGGGGCTGAGGATCAGGCATGCATGTATATATACACAACAGCTAGCCGCCGAGGACCCCCGACACCTTGACTTGTCCGTATATGCATGTGCGTTGTATGGGGGGATGCAACTTTGCTTACTCCATAATCTAGTCAGCTACCCTTCCAACTGGGTTGTCCGTGATTTCTTAAGGTGCCGGTAAGCGACTGCTGATTGGCGGCCTTATCTTCGGTGCCCTCGGAGCCGGCAACCTTTCTTCATCTGAGCCGCGTCGATTCATACCACAGCGGACCGGAGCCGGAACCCCGCTATGGATCGTAGCGGATACGGCCTACAAGGTCGTGCGGTGCGGGGCAAGAATGGTGGCATACGAATACAAAGGCCTATTTATCATTCTTGACCGATTTGCCTCGTATATGATAGGATCCTGTGAATTAGGGCGACTTGACTTCCGTCGCTAGATGGTGGACATACACAAGGTTACAGCATCATCTGAAGTAACCTCAAGTCACCCCCTCCCCCCCCTTTCCCCCCCAAAAAGGAAAGAAAACAGAAATCTAAAAGCGTGATGCGTGTCCTGTCTGTTCTCCAGCCCAGCGACATCTAGGCAGCCCCGAGCTGCATGCGCCACCACGTAATTTGCTCAAGTATTTCAATCTCATGTGGAAGCCCAAGATGGACTTGATACTCGAGAACAATATCGCGACCGGCACAAAGGCTCCCGCAAGCTTTGCGTCTCAACACTCGTGAACACATCTTCGCGACAGTTGGCCGCGGCCGCGACTGTTCAGTTCGGCTGAGTCGTGCTGCCACGCCCAGAATCTTTGATATCCATCCTGCCTTTCAGCTATCTAGCCGAGATCAAATGGCACTTTTCTGCCCAAGATATACACAGTCCAGCGTATAGCATCAAACCCACGCCGTAGCACCACCGTTGCGATGTCGCCTCATAACATGACAAGACTTCAAAGAGTCAGGCGTGGCCCAGCTGTTCACAGCACGATGCAGCATCCAATCTGAATGCAGTTTCACACTGATTCAAGTGCATTGTAGCGAAATGACTCGGTAGCCTTTCGTTCGATTTCGTCAAGAGGTTATTGAATCTTGTGCCGTTCAAAATGGAGCTTTCATGCAGCGGAATGCCTCTCGAGGCCTCGTCATTATCGGTAACTGGGTCCTCTATATCCGTACTTTACCGCTCGTCGACGTTTAATTGATTGCATGAGGCCGTATCTTGCCTGATATGCTGGCCTTTGACCTGACGATTTGTATCAGCACATGTTTGTTCTGGTCAAAAACGCCCACCACTCAACATGACGACGTGCACGAGAGGAATTTTTTTTTTCCTGCAATGTAGCTGCATCTATCCGTACGTATACCCCGTAGGCCAAACACCGTTTGGTGCTCGACGAATAAACAACTTAGACGGGCGGTCTGTGCCCTAAACCCCCATGCCATGTCTCAGACGATGATGTCCCGTTCATTAACCCACGGCAAGCGTGCCTGTAGATTGGAGAAGCTTACGAATAGTTTCAATGTTAAACGCAAAAAAAAAAAAAAAATGAATAAAAAGAACGTATCTGTACAAGAAAGAACATGGACTGCTGTCACGCTTTCGGTAGCTTGGGATCCGAAATGTTACCGTGGCGCCGTGGTCATTGAGTTTCCTCGTGCCGACCATCGAAACTCTGCCCCTTGCTAGTTGGCGACGACGGGCGTCCCGTCCCAGCAAACCGGGAAGAACGCGACATGGGGTATGTATGTATAGCCACAACCAGCAAAAGGAAGCCCCCCCCCCTCGCATTCAGGTGGCGCGCGCACGACTTTTTGCCCATCGAGGTTTGCTCAGCGAAGGGGGGAGAGGAGGGGGGGAGGGGTTTCGTACATAGTATTGCTAGGCTTGTTTTCTCACGTCGGACTCGAATGAGAAAAGACTTCTTCTTTTCATTTTCATCTCCAGAAATAAAAAAAAATGTATTTGGTCGCGTCCAAGATGTGGCTGAGCCAAAAACGGTTGGTGGTATCAAGAGAAAACTTTGTATTTATACACAAACAAAAAAAATTCAGAGTGGAATCCGAGACTTCTTAATTGCCCTGGCCGACATTGTCACCCTTTTTGATTCCCTGGCTTTGACCTCCGCTAGCGTTGACGTCTTGGAGTCCAGCGCCCTTTTCATGCAGGCCCTCGGGCAGCGGCGCGGTCTTGTCGGCGCGGGGCACCTTGTCAGTCTGTCATTGGTGTTGGTCAGTTGGTTTGTAAAAAACTAAAATTTGAAACCAAAAAGAGAGAGAGAGAGAGAAGAAGCTACTGGTAGAGAAGTGAGTGTTCTTACCTTGGCATCACCGACACCATGGGCGATATTGTGGCCGGCCTCCTCAAAGGGGCCGTTGTGTGATGAACCATCTCCGTTGCGAGGCATATTGGGCAGTCTGAGGATGTTGTTGGAGAAGATGAAGAGGATGAAGAATTGTGCGTAATTGATCAATATTGTGGTTGAATTGATTGATAGCCAAAGACTGAAGCCGAGTTTGTGCTGTTTTATATTTCAAGGTGGAGCGTCACTTGGTATCGTCAACGTCATACATTCGTCACAGTTGCCGGCTTGGCCCATCGATTGATTTTGGGGCACGTGTCCAATAAAATTACCCGATAGATGCCTCTAAATTAGACAAGACGTCAATTAGCTAATTCTTAAAACTGAGTAGCAAGTATCATCTTCTTTTTCACGTTTTAGTCGCTTGTCAATTCCAGACTTCTTCTCAGTGAGCACGGCGGTTGCGCATCAATCAGTGTAGTCAAATGGCATCTACTCCGTACATCTCGATGCAGAAGCACTTGACATCATCCAAGGACCCCAGTTCTCCACGACGTCCCTTTTTTTTTCACCCGTCGTGAGGCGCAAGACTGGAAGCTTCCAAGCTTCCAGGCTTCCAAGCTTCCAAGCTTCCAAGCTTCTTTGAACAACCAGGGAAAAGATGCCCCGCCAGGATCCCCCCAGAAGCGCCACCAGTCGGGTGTCGTCGTCCGCCGTCCGGCGACAGATGCCCATGTTGAAGAGGCTTGATCACAACGAACCCAGCTCTGCCTTGACAATCAGGAAATATCCAATTCGTAATCCTCGAGCATCTTTTTTTCTTGACACACCGGCGCCCGCAACTCCCACTCGGCGGTGGCTTTTATTGGCAGCGTCTAGAACCCAGCTTCCCGTCGGGTCTGGAACTGAGCTGAAAGTGTTGTCACTGGCAGCGCAGATCTGAAAAGAGAGAGAAAGAGAGAGAGAGAAAAGAAGACAAGAACCCGAATGTCTGCGACGCGGAAAGCGGACGGATTGGCCGACGCAAAACCCATGCCACTGTTTCGGGCAAATAAACGACTTCTGATTCTCTGAGACTTTTGGGGGGGCGATGCATGCATGCGCGTCTATGGCTAATAATAAACCCGTCGTTGCCGTCAAGCCAGGATTTGCTCTCGAGCCGTTTGATAGATTCTTGAGAGACGAGGCCAGCTTGGAACAAAAAGGCGCGCCTAGCCGTGTGTGAGGCTTTGAGCTGCGCGACAACGCCACAAAGTGGCATACTCCCGATTGACTCTTGTGGTTTCGGGCCGTGCCTGCCACAAAAAAAAAGAAAAGAAAGAAAGAAAAGAACTCCCATCCGCAGCCCAAACGCGCCAGCCAGCCAGCCTCAAGCCTCTATTTGTTTGACTTGTTTCATGTGTCGAGTGAGTCGGATTGCCTTGTTGCTTGTCAGGTTGGTCAATTGGCCTGCCCTGTTGGGCGTCTTGCCTGATGACGGCCTGGTCGCAGGTTTCTGATGGCCCAAGATGCAAGGTGCATTGAGAATGATGAGTTTTGCTGGCCACGGTTTCTCCATTCTGCCAACATTTTGCCCCAATTCCCATTGGCAATAGTAGCCTATTTAGAGAGGTATCATGATGTGCCCGCAAGTCAGCAATCATTCACGCCTTGCGGGTAACGTTTCTACCGGGTACCTTATGAGTGACCATCAGCGGGCTTCAACAACCCAGCAAACCCCCAATGTGGCCCTGTCGCTGGACGAAAAAAGCCTCTTGTATCTGTACATGAGAAAACACGACAAAAAAAAAAGTGCCCTCATGGTCAGGTTGTCAGGCTGGCGAAATCAGTACCAAAGCTTGAGCCTTGCGACTGTTAAAAAAACAAACTGGTTGGGCAACTTCCCATTGGCAAAGCAAGAAACATGTAAATTAGCCATACTCCGTATAGCCCACTAGTAACGGGGCTTCTATTCAGCCCACTGCCGGCGTCCGCATGTCGTGCAACACTGATGCTATCGAGATTCTCCCCATGCAAAAAGACAAAGCTCAACCGCATATGCAGCAGTCCATCACTTGGCATCAAACAGCGTCGGCATTTTGCGTTGGCCCCCCCAGTCTCAGGAATTTACCGAACCGTGTCCTATTCAGTTTTGTATAGTCGGCCTTTTTTGCTACAACGACTTTGCATTCTCGAGCATCGTAGCTTTCAATTAGAAAAAAAATGGCGGTGAACAAAAAACATCTTCGAGGGGTAATAGCAACCAGCCGACGTCTGAGCGGCCACTGATAACGCCAGTATGAATCAAAAACAGACGCGAGGAGAAAGGGCCAATCCTTGCCCTGCAAAGCGTCAGGCAAGGTTCCGGGGCAAGGCAGTCGCATGTCCGGATGGCTGGACTCCTGCGGCACTTGTTCAGGCGGCAAGATGTGCTTGTTTCTTTTTTCTTCCTTTTCCTTTTCTTTCTACTATTATTTTATTTTTTTTATGATCTTTGTCGTATTTTCTTTTTTAAACTTTTCTCCTCCTCATGACTGTTGACGAATCCAGACCTGTGCCGATGGCGGATCACCGGGAGAGAGGTGCCGCTTTGATCGCGGTCTGGGCAATGGGTTCGTAATAACGAAAGGAATCTCCCGTCACCGCCATGATTACGGATCTTTTCCTTGTTTTTTTCTTTTTATTTTCATCTTTAACAGAATTTTTTTTTTTCATTACGCTCTGGGCAGATGGGATGACCGGTGGATGTGTCAGCCCCCCCTAGCTGGCCAACCTGCCGCCCGCGGCCCAGCCGCAACGGGTTGAATCGTGGTGGTCTATATCACGAGTAATCATCCAAGTTAACGCCGTGTATAAAACGACTTTTAATTATCAAGTATAATCTATAGCTGAATTTTTTTTAATAAAGAAGCAAGGCGAAAAAAGAAGAGCCGGCTGATGTGACGACTGATTGGGCATCGGAAGCCTTCCTAAATGGCGGCGCCCCCTTTCACGGATATAATGATTTACCAGCATCGTCTTGCCAGGTTGCGAGAATACCCCTGCCAAGGCCCTCTTTCTCTTTCCCGGCACACTGGATGGGCTAGGTTTGCGGCGACTCCCAGGAAGAAATAGATTGGCCTTTGCTTCGCCTTACTCGCCCTCTCCTGCCCTGCGCCTGCCCCTGTATTACCAGTACGGATAATAGAGCGTGCTCGTATAATAATAACAGCTCCGCCTTGTAAGTTGTACCAGTAGGCATTGTTGCCTGCCTGTGCGCCGTTGACGCGGCCGTTTTTTTCTTCTTCTCTTTTTACCCGGTTTTTGCTTCTCTTATTATAGACACCCTAGTTCTTAACTTTTCAAAGTTTTTTTTTTTTTTTTTTTTCCATTCTAACAGCCAACGGGATTGCCAACTCACACCGTAATAAACAATAATGAAAAAAGTAAAGTGAGAGTTTGCGCGCGAAACAACAACAACAACGACATCTGTAAGGTACCGGGCCTGGACGTTGAGTGAATCAAGTGCAAGATTACAGCCTCATAAGGTGTAATGAAAAACCTGACCACTTGCCAATCGTAGCGTCATATTCTGGACAAATCATAATAAAAAAAAAAGAACACGCGCCGCCGTCAGGCTCACGACTATTCTCGTGTCATTCATTAAGACCATTTTATCAGGCTGGAAGCTTCCGCTGGCATGACTGAACTGACTTTTTGACTCGCTTGCTCAGTAATAATAACTAATAAAGGAAGGGGGGGGGGGGGTGCTTGTGCAGGGGGTGAATGATGAAAATACCCAGTGCTTCCATCCCAGTTCCATGATACTTCTCCATTCCTTCTTTGGTCTAGCAAAGAGGGCCTGGCCAAGACCGGCATCATCGCCCTGACCAGGCACAACCAGGTTGCTAGGCCTTGTTTGAGAAGGCAGACCCTGGGAAACCCTCGAGGCACCGCGCCAGGCACACAGGCAGGGAAAAAAGTTCTGCGATTGATTCCCCAGAAATTGTTCCCCATGCAAAGAAAGGGAGGAGAAGAAAAAAAGCCACCAACATGGATGCGCGCGCGCAGCGACCGCCAAGAAAGGAACAAGGCCAGGGCGAGGTTGCAAGTACAAGTTGTTCCAGAAGCCCATCCATTCATCCACAGAAGAAGGATGAAATAATAATATAGGAGACGGGAAAATCATACGAATAGTTTTCTGTGCGCATTGCAATGGTTTCAATTCCCAGAAAAAAAAAATCCACAAAATCGCGTACAAACCTTGTCCTGGCGAGTAGTCATGGTGAAGGGAAAAAGTAACTAGTTCATAACTGAGACCTTTTTTACTCTCTCGTCTGCCACAAAAGACCAAAGCATTGCGGCCCCGTAGCCGCCGAGAAGAGTACTCGTAGGGCTTCTCCTGTCTCGGTCGCTCGAAAAAAAAAAACCCACCATTGTTAGATTGGCATCCCAGTTAGTTGTAATCCGTACGGAGTAAACCGTTGGGAATCTGGGCAACGGGTAAATGTTCATGACGGCCCTCTCCCCCCTCTCCTTATCGAAGCATTTTAGAGTTTTGGCGGCAACGCGTTTCGACCTATACTTGGCACCATTGTTACAGATTGGGCCTGCACAGGGCCGTCCCGAACAAGCTTTGCTATTCCTCGGGAACGGCGGCGGCGGCGGCGGAGGCGCGAGGGTCCTCCTCCCCGCCCTTTTTCTATCAGTATCATCAATACTTTTGTAAAAGTTGCCATGTTGGACGCGGGCACCGGCCGTCGGCTGTACCGTGTATTGTTTAGCGAGTATGCATGCGTGTATGTCTCGTCTCTTTTTTTGTGCGCCGTCGCTTTTGTCACTGAGCCAATCACTGTGCTCTCCGGAAACGCGGACACGGGATACGTTCGTTGACTCATGAATTTGTTTTTCTCTTGCTTGGTCAACGCACGGGGAGCAACGTCTAGACCTTTCTCTATGGTCACCAGGGCCCTGGGAAGACCAAAAAGACATCCTTGCCTTTACTTCGTCATTCGAGGGTCATTCGAGGGTCACCAAACGCCAACGTTGACACACACACACACACACACTCACACACCACTACCGTACCAGTCAGTACCTTCAAAGCGCCAACCCGCGCTGGCGGGTAACGGTTCCGACTTGCCGGA